TGGTACATCTCTTCATGGAAACAGTGTTCTATGCTGGCAGTGGCATTTTTTAATAGTACATTGTGCCTTGCTATACTGCTTGAGTTTCATGGGAATATGTTTCAGGAAGAGGATGGAGACTTCACTGTGTTTCCTTGGCCAGCAAACTCCTCAGATTTCACCCTCTCTTGAGCACTTATGTGCTGGACCAACAATTTGCTTTGCATTTAATGTAACATTTGATGTGGCCTGTTGCTAGCATTCTGACACCAGATCCCAAAGAAACAAACTTTTTACAATTTTTGTAGAGTCTGTAAATTTATCATATAAATATAAACAGCTAAAATCTATTTTATGTGTGCATGCAGGACCAAAATCTTATTAGGCTGCTGGTATTAAAGCTTTAGAGGATGTGCAGGTGGTGAAATGAGAAGTCAGAGTGCTGAGTTCAAATTCCAATTCATATTGTTTGATTTACTTATGTGCAAATAATTTTTAAAAAGGTATGAATCTATCTCTTCTTCAAGCTATGGGTAAATAGCAGGATAGAGTGAGCCTTATAGCTTTGCTTGGCAACCAGTCTAGGAGAAAACTGAATTCAAACCATCCTTGGGAGGCTTGGGCTCCATCAGGTTATCTTGTTATAGTGTTATATTGCTGCAGTACATGTGATGCACCTACAAGGTTAAGGAATTTGTGATCATTAATCAAGATTTGGTTCATCAGTATATATATATATATATATATATATATATATATATATATGTGCGTGTATGTGTGTGTGGTGTGTGTGGTGTGATGGATAGCAGCTCAGAAATAGGAGAGCAGAATTCAGATACCACTAAAGCTTGTTACATTCACTTATACACAAGTAACCTTTGGAAAGGTATGAATCCTTCTCTTCTTTTCTCCCTAGCTATCAGGTGAATAGTATGGTAGACTGGGCACTTTACACTTGGTTAGCAACCATTCTAAGAGAAGAACAGCTGTGACTTCAAAACCTGAGGAGGTTCATTTAGATACCTTGGGGCCTACTATATGCACCAGTCCTCTGTACTTGGTTCTTCCAAAAGGTGTGTTTTTTTGTACACATCTTCATTTAGCTTAGCTTTTAAAATAACCAAAAACATTTCCAATTACTACTATAACTATTGTTTGAATTTATCCCTTCTTCCTCTTTCAACGTATTGCTATCTCTTGTTCCCACCTTTCCTCCCCCACACCTCACTCTTAGAAGGATTGGAAATGCTCTGCCTAGACCCTTGACTGTTGTTGTCAAAAAGAAATTTTTCAGGTCTAGCCATCACTTTAACACCTCAACCATCCTTCACCAAAGTATTGTTTCACTCCATCACATTTTTGCCTTTATGCATTTTTTTTTGTCAAACAAATAGAAAAAAGGAAATGATATTTCACACGTGGCTTGCATACAAACAGAATTGTTCATAACCATTTTAGTTCTCACCAGTCAAAGTTTAATTGAAATATATTGAAATGAAATTGCATCTTTTTAGTTTGAAAATTGTTTTTGTCCATATGAAAAAGTTATAATAAATAATTATTGCTCTACTCTTGGTATTGAGCCCTCTTTTGAATTAATGCTGTGGACGTTAGAATTTATATTATTTTCATTCTCATTACATTTGGGTATATATATATATATATAGATATAATAACAAAGACTGTTTATGCTTAAAAAAAAATGTGTCAATAACTGGAAGATAATGCATTGAAGACAAGCACTGGTTAAAAAAACAAGGATGTCTCCTTGAATGAGATGTGCAGATATATAGATAGCTGCTAGAAATTAGCAATCAGAGAGATGAGTTTGAATTCTTGTCAGGTTTGTTACATTTGCTTATCTAATATATTTTCTGTTTATATGTTATTTAAGTAAATGCTCTGTTTTTTAATTAAACAGTATTAATTATATTTACTAGTCTGAATGTTTGAGAAATTTTGTAGAAAATATGTGCTTCTCCAGCAGGAATTGAACTTATGGTGACCCGTCATTTGGTCTGATATGCCATTCAGCCACAAAGAAGCGTCTGGTTTACAAAGTCTGAATTACTGTTTATAAACACACAATTTTCGACAATTTTTCGCGATCAATCATTTCTGCTCATGAAACACATCTTAACGTAAACAATGACAACATATTATGAAATGGATGAAGTCCAACAATTATTCAATATATTTTCTGTTTATATGTTATTTTAATAGATATAATTTATTTAAGTAAATGCTCTGTTTTTTAATTAAACAGTATTAATTACATTGCCAGCCTGAATTCTGTTGAAAATATATGCTTCTTCGACAGAAATCAAAACTGTAACCATTGTAATGTTATTTAACCATCATTATTTACATTTACTGGTTTGAATGTTTGAGATATTTTGTAGAAAATATGTGCATATTCAGGTCAGTAAATATAAATAATACTTTTTATTTAAAAAACAGAGTCTTTACTTAAATAAATTGTATCTATTAAAAATATTGCATGAACAGAATATATATATATATATATATATATATATAATGTCATCCACAGACAGACTGTTTCGCTGTATCACAGCTCATCAGTGTAGCTAGACATTCGATTACCTCAAGGTAGGATTGAAAATATATATATATATATATATATATATATATATATATTTATATATATAAAACATTTTCCACTGACATCAAGTGGAAAGTTTTTATTGAATTGTTTGCTAGCTTTGCTGCTAGGAAGTCAGTTCACTGTACCATACTAGACAATTTTTCTCACCAGAATCTACCATTCATCCATGCTTAGAATATTGCTGCCACTTATAGTCTGGTGCTTCTGCTAAATATTTAAAAATCCTTGATAAAATCCAAAGAATCTGGAATGTTATTGGTCCTGACCTGGCATCTCAACTTCAGTCACTTTCCCACAGCTTCTAATGTAGCTTTCCTGTGCCTTTTCTATAAATGCTTTTATAGTAAATGTTCTTATGAATTATCCTTCATGGTACCTAAACTCTATGAATTTAAGCCCATTAGTAGATTGGCAGCAAAATCTCATCATTTTATAGTTGAAATGAGTAGCTGTAATCATAAGTTCTTTGCTAAGAGTTTCTTTTTTCACACTTTTAACTTGTGGAACTCTCTTCTGACATCTTGCTTTACAGTCAACCTTGTTCTTCAAAAAATTTGTGCCATATCAATCTTCTGTCCTTTTAAATTCTGTTTTATTGTCCTTGCTCCTTAATATTATTTTTCTTATATTATTTCACACTCAGTAATCCCCTGTGTCTTAGTAGGTCTGTTGACTTGCTTAGAGTGAAATGATTAAAATCTATATATATACATATGTGTGTGTGTGTTTGCAAATCACATCAAACATTTTCTCGTCTGTCACACCTTCCATACTTGAAAAATTGGCACAACATAATCTTCCTATCAGTATTCTCCATAATTAACCTTGTGCCAAACTATTGACAGTTCTGTTTCTGTAAATATTGTCCAGATAGTAAGACCTTTCCTACTTGAAAAATTGGCTCAGCATAATCTTTCTACCTGACATTTTCTCATTTGGCTTTGATCCAGATCAGAGCTTTTTCAAACTTTTTTCACTGATGACACACTTTTAAAAATGAAATTGCTTGTGATACATTACTTAAATTTTGGTAACAAGGTCAAATCTCTGTCTATAACATATCCTTTCAGAACATAACAGTTACAGCTCTCCACAGGTAATTCAAAATGGATATGAAATGAAATAATTCAACAAAATATTTAGGTAATAATTAAAGAATGAAGAGGCATTTAATGACACACCTGTTTGGAAAGCTCTGCACCAAACAAAACTCTTTTTATAATATATATATATATATATATATATATATATATATATATATATATATATACACACACACACACAGAGGGCGCGATGGGTAAATTGTCGCCATTTTATATTTTTACATGTTGTTTGTTTTTGATTTTGTTGACTGCACAGTATAGTAGGGTCAGGTAGGCACCATTTGTCAGAAAAAGAGCACCATGACACAATTCACTCTGCCAGAAATTTCAATATTTGTAATACGCATATATATTATAATCTGAAAGCCACACAATGATCCCTCATATACAGGTAAGTACATTCTAAAAAGTTTAACTACATTGGTTGGTTAATAAAATTTTATTGTGAAACCATTGATTAGCATAACAGAATCTGACAAAGTATATTATTTTTATCATTTTTTTTATTGTATCTAATTTATGAATTAAATTCTATCATAGGTATGTATGTCTGTACAGGTTATAAGAGAGTATATACAGAGTCATAGGACAGATTGAAGGTAAGAGAGACAAAGGAAAACAATGCATAACATACTTGGTGAGGTTGACTTAATGGATGGTGTAACAGGATTTGGGAGAAATAACAAAAAGACAAAATTTATCAAGACAGGAAATTGTGGAGAGCTATGATTGCCTATGTACTGAGGAGACATGGCACATGAAGAAGAAAAAGATTATCTTTACTATCAGTCATCTGATGGGGATCTAGGTACACCCCCCCCCCTGCAGTACAAAGGAACTTTTGATTTTTGGCTCCTCCTCAATTTTGTGTATAAGTGAAGTTTTGTTTTTTCTATCTCAAGTTCATCTTGTCTTTAGGTGAAATTATGCAATTGTTGACTTTTAGTTGAGAGCAATCTTTTGTGGTGGTTAATTTATTATTTTTTAAGCCAAATCAACCTTGTGTACATGGTTATCTTAATTTCTGACTCCCTAAGACAATCTTGTGTACAAGAGAAGTCTTGAATTTTAACTACAGATCATTTTTATGTGTGCAGAAAATCTTCATTTATGACCCCATAGAAATGTTGTGTCAGGTCAAGCCTGGATTTTGCCATGAAATTTCATCGATTTGTACTCAATGTTGATATGAGTAATTGTGTAAATATAATAAAATGTAAACAAACAGCTAAACCAAAACTTCCCAATAACTCATGTAAATATAAGATGTGAGTTACTCCAAACATTAACAGGCTGAAACACCAGTTCCTGTACAATCCCCAAAGTTAAGTAATGTCACGCCTGGTCAGTACCTAGATGGGTGACTGCATGTGAATACCAGGTGCTGTAAGCTTGGATGTGTGGCTGGTGTAATGGATAATGGCTTGGAATTGTTAATCGGAGTGTTGAGTTCCAATTCCTGTTGGGTTCGTTATATTCACTTATGCACAAATACCCTTCAGGAAGGTATGAATCTACTATTCTCCCTCAGCTATGGTTTAATTAGTAAGACTTGTATCTCTAACATTCTTATCATCTAAAAATATTTCTCGTCTTTAAATAACCTGCAATGGGTTAATAAGCTGTAAAAAACAAATCAATCATCCCAACCATTAAAACTAACAGTATTAATTTTTGTTGTAATTAAGCAACATCCTTAATTTATTTGTGCAGCAAATGAAATATGGGGATTTTGGTATTTTGTCTGTTCGTGTAACAACTACACAACCTTTTTAGTTTTTAATAAAACTAAAGCTGTTATTTATTTAGTCTTGTGCAAGTAATGTATATACACACCGATTACAGTTCTTTCTTTCTTTCTTTCTTTTCAATCAGTCAATCAGTCACGACACGTTTTTAAAATTAGGATTTTTTTTTATTTGACACACTTGAAAAAAAGTCACTTCGCAAGTATACTATAGTGAACGAAAAATGCTTACTCGCATAGCACGCGCCAAAAACATTTACCATTTCATTTTAGCCTGTACCATTGTTCAATAACTACCTAGTTCTCTGTCATTAACTATTGCAGCAAATTACCGGTCAGTGTTTCTATAAATTACAAACCTCGACTGTATGTGGCGGCATGGCCTTTAAAACTAAGGGCGGTAACTCCCGTTTACTACTGAGCCGTGCACCACAACATAGCGTCCACGTTGTCAAGGAGACAATCAGTGTCACAAAGTGACAGGTCCGACAGACTGTACTCCTCGCCTCGTCCGATGGATGAGTAGCTTTTCTTCAGCCTTTAAATTAAAATTCCTACCTTTAATGGCATTCCCCTGCACTCGTGTACAAACCTGAAGCTATAAAACGGTGATACTCGCCGGGATTTAGTTCTTTGCTGAATGAAGAGAAGAATATTAATTTGATTTACGGTAGTGTTGCTTTCCGTCCCATCAAAAGTTTGTGATTTTTTTTACTGTTTTGTTTCGCTAAGAAATTAAAATCGACAACACTACACAGTCATTGTTGATGCATCCACCGCTCATGTCCCCGTTGTCATCCAAGGAACTCCGGACGTAGCATCAGGTAAACAAATAAATATTTATTCATATCGTTTATTGATTGCTTTGTTTTCGTAGTTGTCATCTCAAACAGACCATCAGAGATTTTACAAGTACGAAAACTGACTGATCATGGTTAGAATTCAAGCGGGTATTTATTTATCTCCAGAGATTGGGTATTTTCTTTTTCTTCCTTTCTTTCTTTTTAAAAATACACGCTTGTGTTGAAGACCAGTTTTGCTTTTAGTTTTCCGACTTAAAAATATCTATCTATCTATCTATCTATCTATCTATCTGTCTATGTGTATGTATGTCCCACAAAATCCCTATTTTCACTATCGTATGGTTCCAGCTAAAAAATTGCTTCTCAATATCTGATGTGATGATGAATTTTTGCCAAATTGGCTACTTTATTTTGGGATGAGAATTTTCTTTAAGATTCATCTTGCAGAAAAACACCTCATCTCAATCATTTTCTTCTTTTTTATTTATTTTTCTTTTGCATCTTTAAGATCCTCCTCCGTCTGTCAGAAAGTAATTTCCCTGAGTGTTCCTGTTCACTTTTTTAATTTTTTTTATATATTTTTAAAATATTTTTCGTTCTTTTTTGGTAGGGATTGTTTTATTCAGTTGTAAATAAGGATTAAATCATTCTGTTTCAAGTTATCAATATATTTATTTAAAAAATATTCTATTAAAAATCCCTTCAAAAAGAAAACAAGAAACGACAAGTCGCTTTTTGTTTTGTTTTTTGTTCTTTTTGCGTGTTTTATGAAGATGACATTTTTTAACGTATAATTGTGGCATTTTAAAAAATCTTAATAATTGACTAAAGCAATAAAAGTAAAACTAAAGTATTCAAGGTATATAGAGCGTAAATATAAAAGTGGACACTGAAGTCAACACCCAGTGGCGACAATCCCAACCGTCAGGCCATCAAGAACACTAACAGTATTGGGGAATTGTGTGGCAAAGTGGAAAAAGTTTACTTGTGACACGTAACGTCCTTCAGGACATAATCGAACTAAATTTGTTATGTTGGTACGACTACACATGTGCACGAACGACGGGTGCTGGGAATTAATTTTTTTTTAATATATTAGAGGTGAATTCTATTAGAGTATTTTTCTTTTTTTTCCCATCAATTTTGTTAGTAGGTATTCAACACTGATATTAGAAGATCTTTCTGGAATGCCTCCAGTATTCTAATTATTTTATTTTTAATATGGAACAAAAGGCGCATAAAATATTCCAAAACATTCCAAAACAAAAAAAAACGGCCCCTCCAGAAAAACCCAATGAATTAAAAAAAAAAAAAATATCCTACCAACTAACACTATCACATTTACAATAAAAAAGAATCTAAACTCAATATAAAATTTGCTACTATGACATCCAAAACAATAAAAGACATAGTCAATATTAAACAAAACAATAAACTAAGATGAGTTTACTCCATTGCCTGTAATAATTGTCACAAAAAATACATAGGAGAAACAGAAACTTCAAAGAATCTATATAAAAGATTATATGACATTTTACAAAGCAACATGTTAAATGTGTTAGTTACCCACTGTACCACAATTTTGGCATAAAAAATGCTAATCTGATCAAAGGAGAAAATATAAATGTCTAGAGAGTGCCTTGATTGCAAGGTCATACACGGTAATTTTGCACCCTGGCTCTTATAATCAAAAAGTTTGACAGTTATTCTTAACTCTTTTCTGAAATTCTGAGATGTGGTTTATCTGGAAAGTATCTAGCTATTTAATACTAATGAAAAAATAAACTACTTGCCATTGTCCTGTTGGGATCTTCTACACTTATATATTATATATTATGTGTCTGTATATATATTATATATATATGTATATAAATAAAAAGAAAGAACAGTAAGATATATAATCTGGTGTTCTTATAGATATTTTTATTTTTACAAAATAGTGCTCAATGTAAATTTACAGAGCATTAATATTATAAATTAATTGATTTAAAATATGTTTTTTTTTGCTACACAGTTCTAACCATAATTCAAAAATTGAAGCTAAAAGCCACGAATTTAATTTTGCAATTAAATTAAAGACATTAGCTCCATTTCATCCTCAAGTGAATTTTAGAGTAACTTTTAAAATTACTGAGTTTTAAAGACACAGCTAAAATCACATTTCCATGGTTACAGATAAATCTACTTCAACTGGACAAGGGGTGTCTGGGTTTTCCTTATGTCTGTATCATTGTATCAGTTATTAGCTACATTTTGGTAAGGGGTAGGGATGTATTTTTCAATGCCGTAAGAATTTTTTTGCCGTTAACAATAGATTTAAAAAAAAATCCAGACGACATGCATTCAACGGATGTCAGTTTTCATTTACACACATATACACATACAACATATATACACACATATAATATATTAATACATGCATATAATATATATTAATACATGCGTATTATATATATGTGCATACATATATATATATGTGCATATATATATATATATATATATATATATATATATATATATATATATATATATATATATGTTTATTCCTAAACAGAACTATTTTTGATAGGATAATCAAAACAATACTTGAATGAAGGAATAGTAATGAAGGACAGTTAATTAATGAAATAAACTTTTTAAAATCAATATGTAAATTAGTTTAACCTGAAGAGTGATATTGCCTAGAAGTAGATAATATATAATACAGATATTGAGCTTTTTGCGGGCCATATGTACTTGGATACTTGCCGGTTGCTGGGATCTGTCCCTGTGCTGGTAGTATCACAATTATGACTAGCTTGGACCGGCTCTGACCAGCTTGAACAAGCAAAGATCAGCTACGACTAGCTTAGACCAGCTCTGACATATTATGACCAGCTAAGACGATCAGCCTGAGAGAAGACATTCGTGTCCCCACATTAAAAACTGACCTTGTGTCAGAACCTGACTCAGTAAGGAGTCAAGTAAATACAAACCCCTCAGGAGAGGGGTTTGTAACACATCTATTCATCATCTCTCAGTTGCATCTCTGTCTTTGGGCAGAGGGGTGACTCCATCAAAGGACAGTTGCAACTGAGAAAAATTACACTGAGAGGTGCCCAGCCCTAGCGAACAGCTGCCTGAGGCTGTGCCCTCTCATTGCTCCAGAGAGAGGGATTGGTGCTTGAACTGAGGCCAGCGCAATTGATGGTTGTGGGGGTTGTTCCTTGCCCAGGTGTGTGCGCTTGGGTCCCCACCTTAAAAATGACCTTGTCTCACAACTCATCTTAGTGGGGAGACAGAGTAAATACCTAGTGTGTAAACGTCTCTATTAAGTGGTATACACATTCGAATACTTCATACTTACCTGGCATAGGGATCCGTCTCTGTGCTGTGGTATCATGGCTATGACTAGCTATGACAAGCCAAGACCAGCTATGACTAGCTTAGACCAGCTCTGACCAGCTTGGATAAGCTATGACCAGCTAAGATCAGCTTGGACCAGCAGTGAAAACACTCAGGTCTCCACATTAAAAAATGACTTTGTGTCACAAACTGACTCAGTGTGGGGTCAAGTAAATCTCTACACATTCTCATACTTACCGGTCACAGGGATCCATCCCTGCACTGGTAGTATCACAGCTATGACTAGCTTAGACCAGCTCTGACAAGCTATGTCCAGCTAAGACCAGCAACCTGAGTGAAGACACTCGGGTTCCCATGTTAAAACCAACCTTGTGTCACAAACTGACTCAGTGGCGGGTTAAGTAAATAGAGTATATAAATCGCTCTCTAGAGTGGTTTGTGACACATTGTTTATCATCTCTCAGTTGCATCACTGTTTTTGGGCAGAGTGCACTCA